AGCAGCAGCAGCTTTATCAGTAGCAGTCGTAGCAGTAGTAGCAGTAGCCGCAGTAGTAGAAGCAGTCGTATTGCTTCGCAGCGGCAGCGTCTGGATCTGTACCATTTGGACGACAGGTGGTATCATTAGTTTTTTCCAGCAGCACTAACCTGCCGACAGCAGTAGCACCAGTAGTCATATGCACAGGCAGCAGCGAGCCCCACCACCAGCGCAAACAATACACAAACGTGCTTTGTGTTGGGTCCCTTGTCCGGTCTCACCGTTTTGCATCATCCCCTGCATCTGTTCATCCCATGTGCCCGTGAGCTTCCTCTACACCTCCCCGGTCCCCTGCTTTGCTGCCCCTTGGGCATGCGTGCCCGTGAGGAGCCGAATCCCCTGGCGTCCGGCCCCATGATCTTCAAATACCCCCAGGTCCAGGCCAGCCTCCACGATCCGGGGCAGAGGCGCGGCTACTACACAGCGACCGCGCCCCAGCACCCGGATTTCTTCCACCCCGAGGGCCCCCTCTTCATCGACGGCGACCGTGGTTGGAAAACATGTCCGTATCCACGGCCTCGCGGGCGGGGCCCGCGACGCCGTGAATTCGGAGCGTTGTTTCGTGGATACCCCGCGCGGAATGTACCCATGCGACCGCAGATCCACCCTCGCGCCCCGGAATCCACACCGCCAGGGCGTGGATGCAGGTATTTTCGCTGCTCGCGAGGCGACAGGCACAGGAGCTTCCGCCGCCTCCTCGAGCTCGCGGGCTTTGCGCGGCGCTACCCCGTCGACGCTGGCCTCGTGCGCGCGATCCCAGCCCCAGGGGGCGAAGCGCCGAGCGAGGCCGACGTGGCCGCGGCCGTGGGGCCGCTTGTCATGAAGGGCATCTGGGGCGCGGAGCCAACGCCGGAGGCCAGGGAGGCCATGGGAACTTACGCGCGGCTCTCTGGGGGACAATGTGTGTTCGCTGTTGCGGGGGAGCCTGTTTTTCAGGGTCCGGCGATAACCGGGGCTATTGGGCTCGAACCCCCCTCCAGGATAACCCATCGTAGTCGGTTGTGCAGGTCGGGGGGGGGGGGGCGCAGGGAGCTCGCAGGGCGCGCTGTGTTCAACGGCGCGCGTTCGCGCAACAGCATGCTGGTGTTTGGATGCACGTTGGCGGAACGTTGTGGCTGTGGAGTGGCGCGGGGAGTCAACGACGACAACGACGACGACGACGACGACGACGACGACGACGACGACGACGACGACGACGACGACGACATACGTCGACGACATATTTCGACGTGTTTCGACGGCGCCGCGGGGGGCGAGGCTCGCTCCCCCACGGCGGGCAGCGCGCGCGGTCGCCGAGCCGAGGCCCTAACGCGCACGCCGCCCCGCCAGCCCCGCGCCTGACGCAGAAGCCCCAGGACACGGCACTGGCAGAGCAAGCCAGCCCCGAGCCCTTCCCGCCTGCGGCGCACCTCTGTGAGTAAGGGGCCGCGGCACCGCCCATGGGCGGCGAGGGGGGTTTGGGACGACCCCGAACCCGCACCCACCTCTGGGCCCCTTCACGCCCACCTCTTCCGCGTCGCTGAGCACCAGTATGCCGTCCGTCTCCAGCTCCATGGCGGCCTCCCCCGCCGTGAAGGCCTCGAGGAGTCTGGCGCACGCTTCGCACGGGAACCTGACCAAGAGCACTGCCACCGCGGCGCGGCCACCCTCGGCGGCGCACTCCGCCGACACATGATCGCCGAGGCGTTCCCCGCAGCGCGCCGCGCAAGCCGCCAAGTCGAAGAGGCCACCGTCGGGCGCCCGCCTGCGCTCACAGCGGCGGTGCGGCCTTGGCGTCCCGTTCTGCCCTCGGGGGGCTGGTGCCTCGACCTCCGACTCCTGCAGCAGGCCCTCCGACCTCACACCCGCAGGTGCGGTCTGCTCTCCCACAGGGCCGTCCTCTGCGGGGGGGGGCACCCCGCCAGAGGGAAGCCTGACGCCAGCAGCCTTCCCGCACGCCTGCTCCTCGTCCTCGTCGTTCGCCTCGTCGCTTCAGGTGCCCACGTTCTCCTTCACGCCCACCTCGGCCGAGCGCTCCGCCAGCCGCCAACCCGCCTCCAGGCCGTCCGCGAAGGCCACGGCCTGCGGGCGCGAGCGCGAGCGCCACGAGCGCGTGCGCAGCTCCTTCACACTCGTGGTCGAACTGGCCGACGACCTGCTCCTCCTGAACCTGCTTCTCCTCCGTGGTAGCGCCGTCAGCTGTCAGCCAGTCCATCAGCGCGACTTCGTCCGCGCCCTGCAGGAAGGGGGCCGTCAGGTTCCAGCACCAGCCACCAGCAGGCGCCCGCAGGCGGCACCTCCCGCTGCGCCTGGCGCATCTCCAGGCGGCCCTCCGTCTGCAGCCTGCGCAGCAGCAGTCCGCATGCAGCGCCACGTTCGTCCTCAGGATCTCCGCCGACGGTGCGGTGCCATGCCCTGCAGCAAAGCCTGGAGGACGGGGACGTGCGCCGCGACGCGGTCGGCCAACTCCGGCTCCCCCCGGATGGCTGCGTAGCCGTTCTGCACAGTTTGCATCTCGCCGCGCAGCATCAGGACCTCTGACTTGGCAGCATCTGGTCCGTGATTCGCCGCCAGCAGCGCCCGCCGCCGTGCCGCCGTCCGTCCCGCACGAGTATTCCTCGGCCCCTGCCTCCCACCAGGATCGCCGCCAGGCGACATTGCAGGGGGCACCATACCCGCGCGCCCGCCGCACGGGTTCGGCGAAGGAGCTGGCTGGAGCCAAAATGGCTACGGACGACGACGACCGACGACCGACGTCGTTCATAGAGATCCAGAGATGCACGTGAGCAGCGCGTACACAGGCACTGCGTCGTGCACACGCAGCCAGGCGATTTGGTGCGTGTGTTTGTTACTGCTGCAGCAGGATATGTCGAGGACGCAGGCGTTGTGGTGCACGCAAGCATGATTGCACGCAGGCCGCGCGGTGCACGCGGGCATCGTGATGCACGCAGGCAGTATGGTGAAGACAGGTTTTGTGGTGTACACAACTGTTGCCGCAACATCAGTTACGGTTCGCGCAGGCATCCCAGGCATGGTGGTGTACAGTCGCACTGCGGTGCACGGCCACTGCGGTGTACCACGCCTTGTGGAATATACAGGCGGTGCGGTGTACACATCCGCTGCAGTGCACACATTTGCTATGGTGTACACATGCGTTGTGAGCCCAAACGACGGGGCCGTTCCCTGTGCCAGCAAATCTAGAGTCACAAAGAAGTTACATGTTGGATTTGCTACGTCGGGATTCCAACGATTTTCCGGATTTCTGTCCTGCCGGGGGCCTCAAAAGTTACGCAGTTCTGTCGTGCACACAAGCATTTTGGTGCACCGGAGCTGTGGTGCATGCTTATGGTGCTGAAGCGGCAACCGTGGTGCACATAGGCATCGTCGCGTACACATGCAATGTGTGATTGGTGTGCACAGGCGCTCTGGTGCACGCGCGTGCTATAGTGTACGCAGGCATTTTGGTCTACACAAGCACTGTTGTTTAGACAGGCGCTGCGGTGTGAACAAGCAGCTGTGGTGTGTAAAGGCGTCGTGGCCCAAAAACCTGGGGACCGTACCACGGGCCAGAAAGATCAATATTCACGAAAACATTACACGTTGAATTTGATACGTCCGGGCCCCTGACGATTTCCAGATTTGCGCCCCGTCGGGACCTTGGAGGTGCACGGAAGCGCCGTAGCGCAAATTTTCGTCGCTCGTTGTGATGCACCCGGCCCTTGCGGTGTGCCCAGGCACCGAGGTGTACACAGGTGCTGTGGTGCACACGGGTGCTGCAGTGTACACAGGCATTCGGGGGGAGGCCTCGACCCCGATAAACCATTCATCGCCGATTTGGGGCCCGACAGCCCGCCCCGCACAGGAACGTGCGGTTTCGGCTTCGCGATCGAGAGTCCCTCGCCGATCCATCGGCGACGCATCGCCGATGCCAGGCCCCTCCTCCCCCCCGAGCCAGTCCCCCCCGATCGCTCCCCCCTCAAGAGGTTCGGGAAGTACGCGATCTTCGGCAAGGAGATCCACCGCTTTGCCCTGGGTCCCACCGGGATCGCGGATACAATCAAGGAAGCCAGCGGAGGCGTGACGGCCTGGGCGACGACGACACCGTTTCGCGACCTCTTGCGAAAGGCCGTCGAGGTGCACGGGCCGGCCAACCCTTGGTTCTTGAAGGAGGACCGGGTATTGGACGACCTCACCCTCGCAACCCTCTTTGCGGGCCTGGTGGGCACCACCGACATGACGATGAAGTGCATCCTGTACCAGCAGCGGGATCAGGCCCACGTGACCATGTTCAAGGAAGACCCGGAGAAGTACCTCATCGAGCTGATGCGCTACGACTCGGCCGTGACTTCCGTGACGGAGCTTCTCCGCAAGGACCAGGCCATGAATCTCGAGGGCCGGAACATCACGCTGAAGCAGGGCTCACCCGTTCAGCTCGTCCTTGCCAGCGCCAACCGGGATCCGACACATTGGATGCGCGCGGACGACTTCGATCCCTCGCGTCCTGACCTCAAGGACACGCTCTCGTGGAACGGGCGCGTGGAGGACGTGGAGGCGCGCTCCTTGGAGCGCGCTCCGCGCCACTGCCCAGGGCACTGCCTCTCCCTGAAAGTGGCCGCGGCCGTCTGCGCAAAGATGATGGGCTCTTTTGACGAGCTCGAGAGGGAGGGCAAGGTGTTGCACCGAAACGGAGAGGTGAAGTGCAACAACTTCAACGAGGCGGACGAGCCTCCGCTGTGGAACCCACCTGCCGACCTGGCCGTGCCAAAACCATACGTACCAGACCTCTCCCAGGGGGAGGTCCTCATCAAGGAGCACGTGGAGTGCGACAGCAGGGACTTGTACATCGCTTCCTTCAAGACGGTCTCGGAGTGCGCGCGGGCCGTGAAGTCAGCTGGCGGAAAGTATCCGGGTGCCTGCGGCAAGTTTTTCCACCGTGTCAGCGCAGCGGTCTCCTGTGGCCACCCTCCGAAAGCGGCCCGGAGGAATGTCATTTGTGACAGCTGTCCTCTAGATTAAATAAGTTCTGGTCGGCCGTACGTGACAAGCTTTTGCGAAGACTTGAGAAGGGTGAGAATGAGACGGAAGTGCCCCCGACTTGGGAATCGGCGGTTTCGATTTCGGTCCGTGTCGCGCTTGCGGGCGAGATGAAACTAAGGCCAAGTCGTACAATAAGTTGTTCTTCCGGTTGCGCGGTTGTCCGCCGTGGTTGCCCCGTAGTTGTGCCGCGATTGTCTTGTGGGTTGTCTTACGGTTGTCCCGTTGTGTGTCCTTTGTTTTTTTCCCATGATTGTCTCATTGGTTGTCCCACGGGTTGTCCCGCGGGCTGTCCCGTGGGTTGCCTAGCGGGTTGTCCCGTGGTTGCCGCGTCAGTTGCCCCGTGTGAGGTTCAAGTCAAAATTCAAATTCGATGGCAATCGGGATGTTAGTCGGAATGCAAATCGAAATGCAGAACCAATTGCAATAATCACGCAAACCCAGAATGCAAGTCAAAGTAGAAATGAGTGCAACATTGCAGTGGCATCGAGCACAACATAGAACTGCCATCGGCATGCGACTCGCCATGTACATCGACATGCACATCGAAGTCCAAGTCGAAGCGAGCATCGAATGGCGCATCGACATTTATAACGTGAATTGCGTCGGAACGTACATCTGAGTTAGAATCGAACTACACATCGAGATGCAAGCCGCAATACGCATCTACCTACAAACAGAGGCCGACAGCTAACTTACCTTCGACATTCAATCGGAAATGTAAATCCCCTAGCGATCCAATGGCAATCGCAACACACATCGACGTTTCAATGGAACAGCAAAGCGAAGTGCGACTCGCAGAACTGCGGAGACAAATATCTCACCCAGACAGTGCAGGTACACATGGATATCAGGAATAGAGAGGCCAGTAGAAAGACTGATATTGACATCGATGACAGCGAGTGCGAGACAAGCATATGGTGTAATTGGTAGATGGACAGTGGGGTCGGTAGATAGCTAGCCAGTGAGGTCCACATATAAATAGGGAGTGCGGCGAGTAGGTATTGTGATTGTTGGACAGCGCTTTCTATCTCTCTAGAGATGTGTCTGTCCATAGATTTAGTATTCCCACAGTTACAGATGTGTCTGTTGATAAATTTATAATTGGAGCCTCTTGGGGCCCACTGAGGGCGACTTGGCGGCCACTTGGGTCCTTCTCGGGCGTTTTGGCACGCTGGGCCCTCCTGAGCCTCCTGGCTGCTTCTTGGACCGCCTTGGCCCCCCCAGAGGCCCTTTTGGGATCCTCTTAGGCCGTCTGTATTGGGAAACATTTTGGCCATTTTGGGGCCCTTCTTGGCGCCGCTTCGAGCACAGTAGAGGCGATCTTGTGCCGAACTGCTGGGAAGGATAACATTTTGAAGAGCAGTGCTTAGGGTGTGGGCGACGTGGTCTTCTGGTGCGTCTCTTGGGGCATCTTGGGCCGTCTTTGCGGCCTCTTGTGCATCCTTTAGTTATTCCTGGGATTGAGAGCGCCTGGGCGGCAGCGTGGCGCCTCGAAAGCTTCAGGAGTTCCTGCGCACGAAGCAGGGGCTTAGCAAACTACGGAAGCCCTGTCCGACAGCCACTTGACAGCATCGATCTCCACTGCGTGCCGAAGGGCACGGTCGTGGATTTCATATACGGCAGGGGCTTCCTCAAGGGTGGCTGGTGCTATATGGAGTACACACCGTCGCCGCACTGCAGCGAGGGCTTCAATGAAGATTGGTACGACTTCTACGACATTCCAGAGGTGCCCCTGGAAGAGTCATTGCGGGTCGACGCCGATCTCTTGCAGTGGTCTTTCGCGGACCAGGGTCAGGGGACCGAATCCGTCACTGGCACGCTCGGCAGTGCCCAGTTCCAGAGTCAGGCATTGGTGGTTGGGAAGCGGGTCAGCACGGAAGACTCGAATTGGCTCTTCTCCAAAGAGCAGACCTGCTCGTACGAGTACCAGCTCGCTGCCAGGGAGGGCAGAGTGTATGTGGACACTTACAAAGGCTTCTGGGGTGAAGAGAAGGGGCCGGCAGTTGGCGGGAGGGGGTCCGCAGCGTGAGCAGATTTTCCCACCAGCCCCGCAACCTAGAGAGGGTGTATGCGGTTCGTGAGAGGGGTCGTAGCGGGGGAGGATCGTCTAGGGGTCGGCGGTTGGTGGCATGGGGGCCTGCAGCGGTGGTTGATCGATTTGCCAACCCTCGAGCGGAACCTTCAGAGAGGTGATCGGCGGTTGGTGGGTGTGGGCCCGCAGTAGGAGCAGATCGTCCTACCAGCCACTGATTGGTATCTTGCAAGGCTGCTGCGACGCGGAAGCAGGCGACTGCACCCCAACAGAGCTTACCAAGCACGACACCCAGAAGCTCAAGAAGGGCAAATCAACTTGGACGTTCTGCAAAAAATCAGAGGACACCCGGTTCGAGGTCGCGAGCTTCGCTGGAGTCGCCGCGCCGACTGGCAAGCCTTGCTTGGAGATAGAGGTTCACGGGGTTAGGAATCGTGAGCAGACGAAAAAACAGGAAGGCGGCTCACAATGCCGACGCCACATCCGCCGACCCTTTCATTTCGAAATGTGGGGCAGTGTGCCATGTAGGTTGGCAATGCGTTTACACGATTGTGTGTTTTTGTTGGAGGAGGACAGGCTGAGTGTAGCGTAGGAGCACCGACGTGTCTGTGTGGAGGCAAGGAGGTTTGCAATTGATGGCGCTTGATGGAACGGAGGTTTCAAGTATCCATGCGTGCGTGCCCGTGCCAGTTACCATTGTGATATCAACCGTTTCGGTGCATATGTTGTCGTTTTTCTGGGATCGGCGTGTGGCTTGCGCCTGCAGTTCGTAGCCGACCTCGGCACCTCAGAGAGGGCGTCTGCGATAAGGTACACGCGCATGCTGATGTGCAACGCAGGCGGGGAAATGTGAGGGAAGAGATGTGGGCAAGAGGTATTTCCCGACCAGTCGCCATCACTTGCTGGGCTGCTTGAACACAGCGCGCGGTTCTGACGCTTCTTCTGACACATTCGCGAGGCGTTCTCCAGAAGACACAATCTACCGTCACGTCTTTGTTCGGATGGTGCAAAACGTTACGCGCTTCATAATTCCGCAGTCATGTTCTTCTGTGATTCTGGCCCTCTCGGGATTCTTTGGGATGTCTCCAGGCCGTCTTCCTTAGGGGGATTTTCAGGCCTTGCGTGGGATGTATCTTGAAGCCGTGTTCAAGGGTACTGGAGCAGAGTGTGTGGCCGCTTTGGGCCCATCTTCGGCTGGTGTTGGGTTGTCTTGGGGTGGTCGATGCTTGTCCAGGTTGAGAAAGTCTTGTGAGTCGTCTTGGAGTTTTCTGGCCGGGCGAGCTTGAGGATGCCCAGGTTGCATCTAGGTGCACCGGGACTCCATTTGCAGCGGGCCAGAGGCTATCTAGGGGCATCCTGGCGGCCATGCCGGGCCACCCAGGATGAGAAGCGGTACGTGTTTCAACAATCACTCGACGCGGGGATATTCACAAGTGCATGTATGTTCTAGGGCGTTCTTCTTGTCACGGGCTTGGCGGGCTTTGAACCTGAGGGATGGGACGAGAGGAGAAATAACATGCTACTTCAATATGATATTACACCAGAGAAAAACCCAATCAGTGGATGGTTTTCGCTGAGGAGGTCGACCGGGAACCTGGGAGCCCGGGAACCCAGAGCCCACCGAAATCGGCTCGGAACCAGTAACGGGGAATCCAGGAACCCGGAACCGGGAAACCGGGAACCCAGCTTGCTACCAAAATCGGCGGGAATGTTTCGCCAAATCTTTCAACTTCCGGTAGGACCCCTTCAGTGCAAGCACTGATTGGGGAATAATTGGCACAGCAATTCCATAGCGAGTTGCGCCTTCTGAGAGCCGAACCAGCGGCAGACACGCCGAGCAGGAAGCAAGGGAAGAGACACACCCTACCCCATTCGGTAGGACACGGGGACAGCGGGCCCCACTTTCGCGGGCTCGACGGCCCGAAGGGTCGACCGAGAACCAGACGACGCCACCCCACCCACGACCCGCTGGGTCGCAGGCGGGCCCCCAGTGGGGCGCTGCGGGAGGTGGGTCGTAGGTGGTCGCAGGTGGGCCAGCGCCCTTCGCCTCCAGCATCGATTGGTCGCAGATGATGGGGTGCTGTCCTTTGTCCTCCTGTGGGCCAGTACCATAACCTCCAACATTGATGGGTCGCAGGTGGGGTGGTGTCCTTTGTCCTCCTCTGATCCAGTGCCTTAACCTTCAACACCGATGGGTCGCAGGTAGGGTGGTGTCCTTTGTCCCTTGGTCCAGAAAGGTCCCGACCCCGCACGGGCCTCAAACTGCACCGAGTCGACAAAGGCGGGCCCTCGCGCGGTCCGGACACAACCGGCCCAAGCCTCGGGTGCCCCTCGGGCATCGCGGGCGCGGGCGTTGGGCATCCTCTCCTCCTCGTCATTCTCCGGTCCCTGACCTCGAGCCGCCGGCTCGTCTTTTTCGAGGTAGCGTTTTTCCTCCTTTGTACTATGGGCGAACTGGAGCGTCTAGGCTATAGCGCCCGTGAAAAAATCAGACATGGCAGCGTCGCAGGCCCGACCTGGCAGCAATAAGAAAGTAGAAGGGCAGATCAGTGTCAACGAGAGAAAAGGAGTAGAGCATGCAGAGTATGCTTCATGGCCAGGTAACGCAATAATCGTTATTCCTCCTCCCTCTCATCCTTGGCTTCACCTGAGTCTCGGGAGACTGCCAAGAGTCCCGCCGAGTCAACCCTCAGCATTTTCCTCGCCCGTGACGCGAGCTTCTTCTAGCAGGGTCTTGCGGGAAGCTCTCCTCGATCGACTTGAGTGAGATTTTGAGGGATCTCTCGTCAGACACTACCCCTGCACGCGAGGTCGGCGAGAGCTAAGTTTCCCTTGGCAGGATCAGGATGGGTGAGAGGGTCCGCCGGCATCCTGCTGTGAGGAAGACATCTTACTTGTGACTCCCCAGCAGCCGTAGAGTCTCTCACGATAGCAAGCTCGATAGCGTTCCTTCTGTCGGCTCGGGAACCCATCGAGTTCTTAGACAAAGTGCCGAAGATAGACTTGGCGTCGACAACGGCCAAGGCCGCCGCCTCTTCCTCCAGCTCGCAACTCTGGGAGAGAACATCAGAAAACGTGGGAGGCGCCTAAGTCTCAGGAAGGTCTGGGAATGTCTCCGAAAACGGCGCCTCTCCACATAACTTGCAGCCACTGAGCCTCGGCGACTGCACTGTCGAGCGAGTCCGTTTCAGCTGCAATGGCGGAGCTGGTCACCCTCTTAAGACGCTGCGATCGCCATGAGAGGAGGGAAACTCGAGCACGGCGAATGGCACGGGTCATAGCGTAGCCATGACCAGCCAGGCTCGATGAGAGCCCTCTTTGCTGGCCGATCCCGGTCCTGAACAGGGCCCACACGGTGAGGCGTTGAGACGAGCTAGCTGGCAGGTGTTTGTACCCCTGCGTGAGCATAATGGCTTCGGCAACGGTTGGACACGGCATCGCCCTGGCCAGGATAGACGCGCTCCCCGGCACGTCCGGACGCGATTCCCTGGCCAGACAATGACCCTGGGCCACGACCGCTCGATACGATCGAACCTCCGAGGGAGTGAGGGGCGAGGACGCGAGGCGGGAGAGTCTCGGCGAGTCATATCCAGAGGCAGCGATCTGCTCTCGAATGCACTCATCCTGATCGGTGGTCCGCCTCTCCTTCCTGCCGCTTGCCAAGCTTAAAATGCTGAGTAGTTCGACCTTGAGCGCTCCCAGCAACTGCGGAGGCCCGGAAACGATGAGGTCATCGACCTCGAAGACCAATAGGCCTTCGAGAGCCCCGTGGTGATTCCGCCTCAACCAGAGACAGGGTTTCGTCAGCGATTTCACAAAGCCCTCGGGCTGCAGCCGTTCGGTCAGCGTGCGGTGCCACGCAAAGGAGCGCATCGCTCAGGCTGTAAACTCGAGCGACCGGCTCGATCCGTTGATCAGGTCCTAGAGTTAAGTCGGGCATATCCCCCTACAGGACGAATATTCAAATATAGTCACACAATGATATGGGGACGACTTTTATTTTTGTTTGTATGTTTTTTTAACAAAAAGTAATTGAAGCATCGTCCATCATCCGCCTGTAGGAGGACACGCCCGACCTAATCCTAGAGGTAAATCAGAAAAAAAGTCCCACGAAGGTTGCCCTCGGGGCCTTTCTAACCGCCTCTGGCAAAAAGCGTTCTTGGCGCCCGCTGTGGTAAGCTTACACCCATCAGCAGGGCTTTCGAAACCGTCTCGGACTGGAATCGGGACTTGGAATCGGGACTTGGAATCGGGAAGGCTGCCGATATCCTCGTGCGGGGCGACAGAATGCGATGTGGGAATCGGGGCCGAGTGATCTTGGACCCCTCTGAAGAAAGCACTCTGGCAGTTTTGGTCGCGAGCATGGCGTCCCACTCCTTAGCGTCTGTCTCATCAAATCGCAAGCGATCTTCGGGGGTCAGATGTTTGACTCGGACCTCGGCTCCCCTGGAAGTGATCTGGGCCAGGATCTGGCATGACGCCGAGGTGGGCGACGACGCTTGCTCGTTGGACGCAGCACCGTGGCTGTCAAACAAAAAGAAGCAACATCTGGCGCTCACTGCCGAGTCGACCAGTCCCTGAGCTCCTGGATAAGAAAGCTGTCCTGTTCCTGGGCTGATCCCACAAGGCTTCAACATCGTCCCTGGATCCTCCGCTGACCTCTGCCTCGCTTCCGCTGGCTCCTCCCCAGAGGGCCGTCGGGATCGAGGAGCCCTTTTCCGAAGATCGGCTTTGGCCGGCTCCAGTTGCCGGCTCAGGCCGGGAAAAGCCGGCTCGAGCCTTGGGGGACAGAATCTGTGGACAGAAAGTGTCCACACCCATCGCACCAAGATGATGCGACATCGAACTGCGTCGAACAAATATCCAGAGCCCCCGCCCACCCAGCCCGAAGTTGACGGGGTTGGATGCGAGGCAACGCGCGGGTGACAAGATATGGACACTTCAACTTTGGGTTTGGGGGTGAGGGGGGGGCGAGCCACACGTGCACTGCACGTGCCGCACTGCGGCCAGAGCCCGGACGGAGGTCCGCCCCCGGCAGGGGAGCATCCTCAGTCCCAGCCCCTTGCTCGCACTCCGGGCGGGGAGCGAAGTCCACGGACACGGGCAAGGGCCCGGTCGGTGAGACGCTGTCGGGCAGCTGCTTCTCTCTGGCGGCCTCTCGCGGGAGAGAGGCCTCCCGCTCCCAGGCTCGCTGCGAGGCCGAAGGGCCAGGGCCCAGCTCCTCCACGGGGGAAGCCTGGGACGCTGGGCCTCGGGACTCTGTTGTCCCCCCGGGGCCGCAGACGCGGCTCAAGCCCCCGTGCTGTGCCGGGCAAGCCTGCCGACACGGGGAGTGCGCCGACCCAAGACGGTCGCTGGGGCACTGCCCCGGCTCAAGTTCTAAGTCGGGCGTGTCCCCCTACAGGGGGATTTT